AATTTTATCAGAGCCTTTCTGCAACTGTGGCGACAGTATTGAGGTGGAGACTTTGTCTAATGCCACTGGGTATGTTAGGCGAGGTCGAAGTATTCATAGGACAGTTAGGGGGCAAAGTGGAGGCAGGAGGGAGTCGCAATGACAATGACAGTAGTCCGAGCTGTGCACACTCAGCATGCTTGCAAGGCACATCTGGCCGTGCTGCTCGTATCATCTCACTCATGATCTGTGCATTGCAGCATTTTATCCTTTAAATGTGACTTTTCATGAAAATTCTATAAACTAAGATTGCCGCCACTACATGACGTCATAATATGAGATTAAATGGAAAATGTAATCCCTACATAAACTTTGGGTCATCCTTAATATTCCTCTATTTTACAGAAAGTCTGTAACTTTTATCACTTTTTAAGATATAGCCTTGTCAAAATCGAACGTTTTAGGAAAAAACCTCAGGCGCCTAAAGGGTTAATATTTGTGGGCATGATTGTCAGTGGTGGTAGTTATGTTTGAGGACTATAGACCATTTCACAAGATGTAAACAACACTGGTCCAGAAACACTTCCTGTTTCAGTTTGCAACTGTTTTCTTTATTTCACATGTAAAGAAAGCATCTTAAAGATGTTTGTTTAACTTTTTGATTCAGTTTTAAATGTTCTGTTGGTTGTATTTTATTCCAGCTTTTATGTAGTGTTAAAAAACTAAAACAGGAAGTGCTTCTGGACCAGTGTTGTTTACATCTTGTGAAATGGTCTATAATAAAAGTTTACCTCTTGTGTGCATGTAGCAGAGACAACACGCATCAGAGAGCGTGTCAGAGAGAGCTTAAAGTGATACTGATATTGGTCTCGGGTCGGGTTCGGGCTGAAAAATTGCAGACGTTGTTGGGTTAGGGCTTGAACACCACGGGCCAGAGCAGGGTTAGGGCTGGATTTTTCTAGCCTGTGCAGGACTCTACTCTCAGGCACTCACTAAACAAAGTAGGAGCAAAAAAAGGTGCGACTGCAGCAGAAAAGAAAAACCCTGCACTTGCAGGAGAGTAATGGAGACATTTGTAAAGTCACTAAGGTTTGTCCAAAGAGTTGGTAAGCACTTTTTGGGGAAAAAAGTAGTCACGAAAAGAGTCTGAAAAGTCGCTTAATCTACATAGATTCTTTTTATTTTGATTATATTATACAACTACTTATGAGCTTCAATTGAGTCACAATATATGAAATATTGTGTATTTATGATTCAAGCCCCTTTTTAACTTTTTTTATCTTCTTGAGTGAAAGTCAATGGCCGCCCAGAGACTATTCAACCAATTAATATTAAAGGTGCATTGCGCAACATTTCATGTTTAAAATAGCCGTTTTCTAACCCATACATGCTTAAACAATCGCCTGATGGGCTGAATGAGCACTTCTCTGATCACTGAGATCGCCTCTATAATCCTGTACAGTAAAATAAATAAGAGGGATTCGGGCTTGAATCTGAGACTGTCTCAGATTCGAGCCCGAATCCCTCTTATTCACGCTCGCCTGGCTATGTGCCTATGTCTTGCAGGTAGTGTATTCGCCGCCATTCTCCGTATCAGAGAAGACAACTTGAGCGACACAACTTTAGTCAACTTTCCACAAAAGTAGAAGATGGATTCAAAGGAGCTGTTTAGCCTACACCTGGTCACTTCATGCGTTTCCTGTGATCGGATAGCTATTTGATCGTGAAAAGACCAGGTTGCCCTCCGAAACGCATTCGAGACGGATTTGAATCCGATCGCTCAAACCACTTGAGGACGTGGTCTGGGCCGTATTCCAGACAAAACTGGACAAGTGTGAATGCATCTGGTTGTTGAAAGCAGGCTATCGGTTATGTTATGTTATTTTAGTCATATATGACGACGCGCATCACCTCAGATGAGCAGCTGAGCGCCTATTCATCAAGCCAGCGCGCCGCATTCTATCGCAAATCAAAGTGAAAGTAAGTCGCAGACTCTTAACACTACCATCTTCATTGAAAGTAAAGAAATGAACTGATCTTTATCAGGGCTGTTGCCGCTCTCTCTTATTGCTGTCTTTGCTGATTTTGAAATTAGCCGATGATTAATAAAATGCAATTCGGTGACGTGCACTTCATGAATTCTGTAGCCTATATAGTGCGGGAATTGAAGATCAGATTATATCCGTTTTGCAAAAACACATTTATGTGACCAGGTGTAATGGAATCGTTTTGATAAATCAGATGGCTATCCGATCTGAGAAAACGCATTGTGGCCAGGTGTAAACAGCCCCAAAGAGACCGGCTTGTAGTTCATTCCAAACCCCAATGCAAACTCGACGTGAGACAAAGAAAATACAACTTCTGTCTGTCTAGTGCCAGCCGTCGGAATAAGACGAAAGTCAACATCGGGAAGGCTTTCAACAAACAGAGAGATCTCCGGTCTGCTCTAGGGCTCAAACGGGTCCTAAACAAAGTAATAACTTATATTGTTCATGAACATGTTTCCATAATTATACAATCATACGTGGATACAGTAAGCACATAAAACAGTTAAATATGGAGATAGATGGAAACAAAAACCGAAGTTTTCTACTACCCTGTTTTCCCCTCACACACACATAAATGTGTACTCGAATGCCTTTCCTTTCATATATTTTAAATGACCTGCAGATTTATAACTGTATTACCTCATTATGACTGTAACAAAAGATGTGTGCCGCACAGTGTGCAGCTGATGCTCCTTTGGTTATGAACAGCTCGTGCAAACGTGCGTGTATGTGTGTGTGAGCGCGCACGCAGTTTCGCTTGTCGCCAGAGGGGGCGTAGATCTACAAAAACTCAGATACTTGGGTTTTGCTCCTTTAACTTAACTCATGGACCCAATTATTTTTTATTAATTGCATTTTGGGGAATTGTGCATTGTTGGAATTTAGTTGTTTCCAGAATACATGCTGATATTGATGAGATTCAAGCGTTTTGTCAAATTTGAGGAAGGTAACTTGTAAAATCTATTACAAGGCCAAAAGAAACATGTAGTAATGACAAAACTTACAGAAAGCATCTGTTACAATAAATTTCATGGTCAAGTGTTTTAAACCCATTCACCCGGTTCATATTCCATTATGAAGCAGATACAACCAAGGACAGAGACGTCACCCAGCATGGCACAGCCAGGGCCCCACCATGCGAGCGCCTGGTGGCCAGGCCTCCCCCCCATGGGCTCAGCCCGAATGATGTAGGAAGGGGCCGGTGCACAGTGGATCGAGCAGCAGTCGAAAGCGGGGGCCCCGATGACCCGATCTATGGACACGGAAATTAGCTTTAGGCTAACGGATGGTTTGCAGGATGGTCTGGGATGAGAATCAGTACCTCCAAGTCCAAGGCCATGGTTCTCAGTCGGTAAAGGGTGGCTTGCCCTCTTCAGATTGGTGGAGAGTTCCTGCCTCAAGTGGAGGAATTAAAGTATCTTGGGGTCTTGTTGAAGAGTGAGTGATGGATGGAACGGGAGATTGAAAGATGGATCGCTGCAGCTTCTGCAGTAACACGGTCGATATACCATTTTGTCGTGGTGAAGGAGCTGAGCTGCAAGGTGAAGGTCTCGATTTACCGGTCAAGATCCCGGATATAATGAAATAATGCCGAAATGATGCTGCTGAAATGAGCTTTCTCCGCAGGGTAGCTGGGCGCTTCCTTAGAGATAGGGTGAGGAGCTTGGTAACTCGAGAGGAACCAGCTGAGGTGGCTCGGGGATCTGTTCTGGATGCCTCCTGGACGCCTTCCCATCGGGAGGAGACTCCGGGGAAGACCTAGGACACGATGGAGGGATTATGTTTCCCGGCTGGCCAGGGAACGCCTCGGTTTCCCCCCGGAAGAGCTGGAGGACGTGTCTAGGGAGAGAGAAGTCAGGGCATCTCTGCTTAGACTGCTGCCCCAGCAGGCCGGCCCCAGATAAGCGGAAGAAGATGGTATGGTATGGTACGGTATGGTATGGTATGGTATGCGTTTTAAACAGAATGTCAAACTTCGGAAACTATGTGCCAGAAAAATGCAGTCAAATCTCAAGTTGGGGGTACTTTTTGTTAATCATTTATCATATGTCTTAGAAGTAATAATTAGGAAAAACAACACTGTTAATAAATGAATGCCATTTTGTTTTGAGTGGGCATTAACCAGGTCACTTCCCCAAACTCATTTAGAATGGTATGTACTTGTTGTCATTCATTACCTGTTTAAGTTTGTCATCTGTGAGGCAGTTTAGTTCAATGATGAACTCGCTGTCTGTCGGCAGTATCTGTGCGCTCGGGTCAATTATTTTTATGATATCAAGTTGCTCCCGAAGACCCATCTCTGTGCTCACTTTTCGACTTAAATATTCAATATATTCCACCTGAAAAACAAAAATCAAAGTTAGTTTGCATTAAGAACAGTAGAAGCTCTAAAGAAACCGAACAACAAGTAAATTCAGAGAAAAGTTTTTCATTCTTTCATAATTGTCTAATTAACATTTTCATTACAATTATAGTATCACTATAACAACATAAAAGTTAGCATTTGAGAAATGTTATCCCATGTTGATTTATTGACAACAGCACTGGAGTTGACATGGACAAAACCTGATGATCCATGTTAATTATTGTTATTTGTTGGTCTCAGACTCTTGAACACATGACAACACATACTGGGTGTATTTTATATTTTCATTGCATAAATAAAATAAATCAACCTGTTCATCATTAGTCATGGCACTCCAGGGCAGCTCATCCAGATTTCGGTGTGGTTTGTTTTTTCTTTTGGATACAAGGCAGGGTGAACTGGGCACACTGGGTATGATGTCTGACAACACATCACTGCCACTGGCTATGTCACTGCCTGGTAACTACAATAGCACAGTTTTTGTTCAGCAAATTCTTCAATAAAATAATCAACAGCTTGTCCATATGTTAATAAAAAACAATGAAAGTGAAATAAAAAATTAAAAAGGTGAGTGGCTCACCTGCCACTCAAATTCGCTGTCTGACCAGTCCCAATAAGTGCTGATGGAGGATGACACGTCGCTGCAGACACTGCCTTCTGGGAACAGGTCAAAGGAGGTGAGTTCCTGATCATCCAGGAGGGAATAACAGTCATCCTGATCGCCCACAGAAACGGAGGAGAAGAGTTCTTCACTGCAATCAGAACTGGCAACACTAGTGCCGCATGACGTCAGGTTCCATCTGCAAAGAGGTGAACATTGTTGACTTGAAGGCAGTTTCCATTAGAGGTCTTTCACAGGTCCATTTGGATCTAAAAATCCGAGGTCTGACCCAAGAACAGAACGGGTTCGGGTCCAAAACTTTGACGAGTGCCTCAGACACTGATCGGTCCTGATTTTAGTGGCCACGGGTTTAAGGTAATTTTAATTAAATGTGCTTTTACCAAATGAACCCAAGAAGACCTAAATTATTATACAATTTTCTGTGGTTCTTAATATTAAAATAAATATACATATCCATTTCATTTGAGGTGAAACAAAGCTTCTGAGCGGTTTATTTCCTTGGAAGTGCTCGTCCAATTGCAGAAAAAAGATAAATCGTTGTTAGATTGATTACAGAAAACCATCTAAATGCAGTTGAGGCCAAATTAATCAATTAAATCTATTTAACAAAAATAGCCCAGAACTCTATCAACTAAATCTATTTAACAAAAATAGCCCAGAACTCTATATTTTCATGTTTTATGAACATTTGCAAAAATTTACAAAAAGCTGGACAGACAGCAAGACATTGGTGTGTCACATTGGCGTGTCACACTCATTATGGCAGTCAGAACAGTAAAACTCTCTTCCAGATATTTCAGTGACATCAACTTTCAGAATTGGAATTTAAAGTACTTCTAAAGAATTCAAAGAAATGCCACGAAACTCAGTCAGCATGAAGTCAAGCCATTGAGGATGAAAAATTGACGGGGGATTTTTGATATCTCAAACGGTTTGGCCATGGCGAGGAAACGAAATTATAGCGAGAAACATGAAACAGGAAGTGTGTTATAACTTCTGCAAGTGTGTTATAAACTGATCTTGATGAAATTTCAGCATTGTGTTCGCTGCAAGAGGCCGATCACATGGATGTGACAATTGTGAGTCAAAGTTATAGCGCCACCAACTGGCAGCAGGAAGTGCGTCCCTTTCAAAATGCTTTGAAAACACCCTCTTATTTTAACCCGATTTGCTTCAAATTCTATGTGAACTGTATAATGTAAACATACGGCAGATGTAGACCTGTGAATGGATTCTTGATATATTTGATACTGTTGCCGTGGCAATGCAACAAACTTTACAATTCTTTAAGGATGCTTTTGAGACACTTAGCATGCTTAAAATTGCATGAAACTCGTCAGACACATCTCATTTATTAGCCAGTAGACGTGCAAAGGGGCTAGATTAACCATTTCACTGCTGTGTGTTTGGCCTCCTTTAAAGAAAATAAATGTCTTAAGCCTTGTATTTTTTAATTAAGATTTTTTTTTAATAAAGTAAAATGTAACCAGTTTAATTGTAGTGAATTGACAATAGTTTTACATAATTAGTTTATCAATTACTTTAACTTGGTCCATAAACTTGGTCTGAAAATTTGGTCCATAAATCAAACACACTTGCAAGTAATATATTGAAACTCGGTACACATATAGATCTCATAGTGCCAAACAACTTTAAGCCAGCCCAACAGGAAGTCGATTATTTTGGTCTGTATGTGGATGTTTTGCAAAATCAGCCTTTACATTTTTATTCACTCCTCTTAAGTGGTTTAATTTATTCCCCCCAAACTTTTTCAAAATGATGAAAATACATTAAAGATGCTAAATTGTTAACGGATATTGAATACCTCAAACGGTTTTGCTATGGCGGGGGATTATGTCAAAAAAGAATCAGGAATTCTTACTATTAGAACTAAACCCATTTTTTCCCTTTTTTTTAATTTAAGAATTATTTTTAATTTCCAATTTATTTTCAACTTAAAAATCATTCATAGTGCTATACTGCCCTCTTGTGTTCAAAATTGAAGCATTTAAACTGATATATTATATTACTTCAAATAGAATTTTTTTTTAAAATATTATATTAGGCCCATATTGTATTATATTATAAGCCTAAATAAAGAATCGCACAAAGGTATTGTTTAGGTTATATTAGGCTTATATTTTATTATATTATATAAGGCTAAATAAAGAACCTCCCAAGGGTATTGTTTAGGGCTCATTGCCGTTAAAAAGTTTGAAACCCCTTGCTAAAAAAAATATTGGAAATTCATAAACAATAAACAATCATTTAACTTTGATGGTTTAATGCTTTCTGTACACAATTCATTGACTGTACAAAAACACTCATCACTGCTTGCAGCTTTAATTTGTCATCATTTATGATTGGCCAATGTAGATCCTGTAGCAAATTAGCTCAAAAGGGAAATATATATTTGATTAATCATAATGAGTACGCTTAACCCCTTGGGGTCGAGAATCACGCCGGCGTGATTGTCTCTCTTTTTTTCTTTTACGAGTGAAAAGAGACTCAAATAACTCTGGCGATTTTTGTGATACAGTCAAGTGTTACATCAATCAAAACTGTTAAATGTCTACTTTTATTTGTGTACACAAATAATAAAAAACAAAATGTTGTGATTTTTGTAAAATAAAGAAAATAAACATGCGGGTTCTCCCTTCTCCCTCAATTTGCAAATACTTGCCACACACATGTGAGAGTTATGTCTTTACAAAGCTTGAAGACTCCATTTTTAAATTATGTAAATCATACCTAAAACAAATATTCTCTGTTTAAGTAATCCGTATGAAAGCAACGACATGTTCATTTTCTCCAGTCTAAGCTGATAAGCACTAATGCGGCCGCAGCTACGCCCACACGCACGCGCGAGCTGTTCAAATTCAAATGTTCCACGTGGAGGAACGCACTGCTGTTACCGCCCTCGTCACCTCAAAACAAAGAATAGCGACTATTTAGAATAGCTTTTTTGTCAATTTTGTAAGGCAAGACATCTTATGGTTGTATATAGCGTACTTTACATTGTTGCTACTAGTTAAACTGGTCCCACACTAAAATGTTATGAAATGAGATTGGAGTTGTGAGATTGAGTTGTGGAAAATTAGATGTTTTTATCTTTGATATTAAACACAGCATGATATAAAGAAGACTTTGTTATTCTTTAATAGTGAATATTATAATGTTTGGACATGCATGTTTGAGAATATCTGCTGAAACGTAGATATGTATCATGTAACAATAATGTTTCATAGTTTGGAGCGGATTCGGATCGGTTCAGTGAATTTCTTCTGCACGCGCTAAGTTTGAGGCACTCATGCTGTGGGTTTGAAAAGCAAAACATGCCAAACATTATAGGCATAGGTTTTCTCCAATCTTATTTCATAACAAATGGAAACGTTTGAAGTAACATGCTGTATGATAAATCATATTTTTATATGTGTAGTTTTGCTGAAGTGTTCCTTTTTTAACAATATATAGGCTGCTTGCTATTTATCTGTTATTATTTTATGCAGCCCTATACATAGGCTATAACGATGCACAACAAACTTGGTGTTCATATATATTTAATAATTGTAACCAGAAAAATAATATTCCCAAAATCATGCAGCCCTGTGGTTTCTCTTGATATCAGCATGATATGAGCATGATTTATTTTTTACAGGGATGCCACTGATGAGTCCTGCTGACTTCAGTATTCACAGGAGACTGTACATGAACATGGTAAAGTGACAAATCAAACACCTTGGAAATGACTAGGGCTGTAGTCAACCAAAGAAATCCTTGGTCGACCAAAATCTTGTCCTGCGCAATGATAGTCGACCAAAAAAACAAACAAACATTTTTTAACAATTGTCATAGAACATTTCTAAAACAACAATGAAAAAAGGGTCGGTTTACTTGGCGCCATGACCAAGTACTGCGATGTTTGGCTTTAGCATTGAAGGGAAAGCGTAGTATGACCAATAAGTTGCCACCTGCAAAACATTACACGCAGAAGACAATATTCCTCCGCCCAGGCGAGCAACCACCAAGAAAAGGTGTTAACACCAATTTTCACCCAGGACAACTGGAAACTGCTAGGGACTGGAAGATGCTGGCTGATCTTGATGAACGGCTTATTTTTCCACCTGAGATTGCTACCACTAACTTAGGACCAGATATTGTTATGTGGTCTGGATCAGCACGCATTGTTCAGCTGATAGAGCTAACAGTGCCATGGGAGGATGCGGTAGATGAAGCATATGAGAGGAAGAAATTGCGTTATGCTCATCTGGCCACTGAGGCAGAGCAGCGAGGATGGAGAGTTTATCCAGTGGAAGTGGGTTGTCGAGGTTTTGTGGCACACTCTACAACCCGGTTCCTCAGAGAAGTTGGATTCAGTGGCCAAGAGTTGCATCTCACTGTAAGGAACTTATCTGAAGCGGCAGAAAGGAGCAGTAACTGGCTGTGGTTGAGACGGAAAGATTCTAGCTGGCTATGTACAGACCGCCACGCTACGGTTTCGTAGAATTCTTGAAGAGACTGTTTGTATAGGTTGCACTGAAATTACAGTCATTACGTTCCTGTGTATATTGTTTGAATGACGGTGGTTGGCAAGATATTGTGGTTTGCGGTAGGTGGTATGCCATACGGAACCGTTTGCCACTGAAACTGCTTTATAACGCACCAGTGGGGCTCGACAGCCATTATCAAACGAGTTGGCGCATATGGTTGGGTTGCGCGTGATCGTGGTTAGGTCTCTGTAGGGGTCAGTAAGCTGGGCTGAGTTGAGTGGGGGACGGAGGGGGGTGACTCTGGGACGCCAGGGTCATTGTCGAGCCCTCTTGAGGTGTTGTGGGCTAGTTGACGAAACACTGAGGACGGAAGGTGCCCACTTGAAGACCCTAGAGATATCCCCTACTCGGCTCGAATCCAGACGTAGGGCTGTAACGATTTTGGCTAAAATCATAATCACGATTAATCGAACAAGTCACCTCGATTACGATTATTGAACGATTATTTTAATTATTTTTCTTTCTCATACGTCACTGGCAAGGCTTATTCTGTAAATATGTATGTATTTTTTTCTAATGAAAGAGTGCATAATCTTTGAGATTCTAAACTAAGGAAACACACAGATAGATTTTAATGCTTATTAAATATTTTAAAATATTTTAAAAATGTAGAAAATAGTTATTTTTGTAAATAAAGTATTGTAAATATTGCCATCTAAAAAGTAAAATATAACTTGTATAAAACTAAAAAACTAATCCTTTTCATATTGTATAGCATCTGTAAATGCTTGTGTTATTGAAAGCTGCTTTGTGGAGAGGAAGCACTTGTTGCTGGGCGTTTGTCAGTCTCTCTTTTTTTCGCATGTTTCTTTGGTACAAGCAGCTCCTGTTGCTGAGTTGACTCAGTATTCTAGGAATCAGAGAGTGCGTTCACACCAGAGCCCATCTAACGGACAGTCTTGGCACTTCCTATTAGCCCCGTTGTGCATCATCTTGGTTGCAGTTCCATTAGAATTCCACTGGAGGTGATCGCGGGCGAGTGCAGAATGAATGGGAGTCTATGGGGCTAAACGGTTAAATGTGTCTCTTTCACCTGCTTGTCGTTAAATCAAAATAGATTTTATTGTGGATTCCGCAAGTTCAATATAGATTATAGGCCAAAAGTTGAATGAACGAGTACTTATGTCCTTTTGATTTCTTACAGGTTAGGCTGTTGTTAGCTGGAACACGCTAGCATTCTGCTATTGTGTGACGTCATCACATTTTTGAACGGATTTTTAGAACAGATAAGTGAACTTAAAAATGCAATTTTCAGCTGAGTGTATTTTCTTAGCCCTTCCTTTTGAATGCAACTTTCAAATTACTTGACAAAAAATTACATCCTGAGAAAAGTGAATTTCTGGGGGTGAAACCCCATTGACTCCCATTCATTCTGCACTCGACCGCGAGCGCCCCCGCATGGACAGAGACGCGTTACTGCAGCCAGTCCAGAACCCGGAAGTAACCAGCCAGTGCCAGTTGGCCTTATGCACAGCTGTACTACTTCCTGAACTTAAAGGACAACTCCGGCACAAAATGAACCTTTAGTCTAATTATACATTGTTACCTAGTCAACCGTTATCTGAGATTTGTTTTCATGATTGCCGAATGTAAATAGTTTTATCTCTAAAAACAGTTTAGCCTATAACGCTAGTATAATGCTAGTATATAGGGCATAGAGTAATGACAAATAAAAATCGCTTGTTATTACCACTAACAACGCTCAAAATAGCCCCACACCAACACGACAGCATAACAAGGGTCCCTACATTCAAACCGAAGCATTGAGAACTTTGTCAGTGTCCATACAGTTTAATTTCGCGAATACAGGAAGAAAAACCGCTTGAGGTATTCAATATCCATTAACAAGTTTAACTTCGTGTGACGATCTTGGACCTGTTGGCTCCACTTTTTTTTTTGCCTGTTCATTACGTCTCCCCTAATAGGTGAGACGAACGCAGGTGTGGCGTGTTGCAGGTGATTGCTCCCGGACCGCGTGTGGTTGCTTTCCTGGATGTTAAAAGCTCTCCAGAAGTGATTCAGGGGGAAAAACGCCGCTTCTCCTTCCGCACCGTTTTGCTGATTTTTGTTTTTTTGCATTACACTTCATATACCCTGATGGCATTTGTTTTCTTTTTATGTTGTACATTTAAACTGACTTTAATTATTTTATGTTGGTCATTCTTTGTCTTAAATAAATACATCTTTATTTGAAAATCTAAATAATCCGCGTGGTCTCCCCTCTCTGTTGCATAAGCCGGCGCTGGCAATATGTAACAGATTGGTGGCTCGTCAAGGGATTTGAACGTTCGGGATCTGATAGGACAAACAGACTGGGGGGCTTGTTAAGATAAGGATTGAAACGACATCGGTAAATATATTTTTGATGCTTATAACTAGGCTTTGAATGGCCGGGGCGTTGAAAGCTTTAAAAATATTAGGACCGTTTCATTCAGATACGTTGATTTGGAAAGCGCTTTGATTGTTCATTGAGTTGAGCGTTTTGTTTTGAATCATTTGGAAGACGCATGTGGATTAAATTGAAAATGAGTTGCGTTCAAAATTAATTACTTTTTTTGTTGGTGCGGAGAGGAGGAGAATATTTTTGTTTAATTTGTGCCTGGGCTGTTTTTGAAATAAGCCAGGTTGTATAGTTTGCGGTGAGCCATTGTTGTGTGTCTGCACCGTGCATACAAGATTGAGGTTATTGATGAAGTATTCATTAAGATAATTATCGGAGCATCGCGAATGCCTGTTAAGTTAAATGTTCGTTCGTTATTTTCGTTTGTTATTTTAGTTTGTTATTTTGGTGCAATCCTGGGCAGAGGGCACCGTCGTGGATGCCTGCTTTAACGGCATTTTGTCGGGGGAGTTAAGGCACCGCTGATATAGTGTATTAAAAATCTCTGTCCTTGGGATTTGCATGAAGAGGATCGTTTTTTTGTGTGTTTTTTTTTGTTTGTTTGTTTTTTTGTTTTACAGAGCAGCTCCGTTTTGTCTCGTCTTGACGTGTTGTGGCCACATTAATAATTTGAAAAGGTGAGCATTTTTCTCTTTTGTATCTCTAAGAATTGTATGCTGTAGTTAGTTCATTTTTATGGCTAGTTTAGAGGATTTTTTTGTAGCTCCATCTGTGGAAGTTCTGAATAATTTGACAAAGGATCAGTTGCGTCAAGTTTGTGAACATTATAACTTTGATTTGGGTTTACCTAGAACAGTGAAATTAGCCCAGATTAGAGTGTCAGTTCAGGCAGAATTGGTCATTAGGAATATCCTTTCGTCACCTGCATCTCTAATTATGGAGGAGTTAGAGTTCGTAGGAGCAACGTCGACACCTCTTTCGACTGAGTTTTCTAAAATGTCACTTACATTTGAGCAACAAAAGGTGTTGATAGAAATGCAACAGAAAGAAAGAGAAGCTGAACGTGAGGCAGAGAGGAGAGAAAGAGAAGCTCAACGTGAGTTAGAGATGGAAAGAATAAAAAGTGAACGTGATGTGGCTTTAGAACGGCTGAGACTGAGCGCTGAAGGTAGGCTTCCAGTTGATGGAGATGAGGGTAATGCTCCAAGGGGGTTTGGGCGTTCCCCTGATATATCTAACATGGTTAGGTTGCTGCCGAAATTCAATGAGAGAGATCCCGATATCTTATTTTCTTTATTTGAGAGTGTGGCTGATTTTGACTCTGAGAAGACTTTGTTAATCCAAAGTGTTCTTGTAGGTAGAGCACAAGAAGCATTTATTGCGTTGCCCGTGTCAGATAGAAAAAAATATGTCAAAGTAAAAGAGGCAGTGCTTAAAATGTATGAGCTAGTTCCTGAGGCTTATCGTTTGCGGTTTCGCAGTTGGAGAAAAGGAGACAAACAGACCTATACAGAAGTAGCGATGGAATTGAATGGACACTTTGATCGTTGGTGCTCTGCAGTGGGAGTCACTACTTTTGATGAATTGTCTAATCTAATTGTTTTAGAACAGTTCAGAAATATTCTTCCTGAGCGTGTTGCTACACATGTATTTGAGCATAAGATGAAAACCGCAGCAGAAGCCGCAGTTATGGCTGACGATTTTGCTTTGACATCTAAGTATAGTTTAAAAGAAAGCAATACAGGTAAGGTTCATCAGGAGCAACGTTTTAGACGTTTCGATAGAGTTTTGGGGTCTTCTTTATTGGGTCCATTGGAGTCAACTACTCGGAGGAAAATAGATTCACACTCAAATCAGTCACACAGAGGTGCTGTTGGTTTTCGCAGGGACTCTAGGTATTCTGCGTTTACACCTGGTCAGGCTAAAAACGATGCTGACGTGTGTCGATACGGTTTTGAAAGGGGGCACTGGAAGAAAGACTGTCCTGTTTTAAAGGGGAAAAGTCAGAGAAACGGCACTGATGTTGTTAGAGGGGTCAATTTAGCTGTATCTGATTCAGTTATGCCTTCTAAAGTTTTGGTGGGTGAGACTGAGGCTAAATCTGAAGGTGTTGTGATTTCATCTCAGACATCAGGCCTGAGTTCTCCTGAAGTTAATGAGGGAAATGGTGAGGCTGATCCAGTTGTAACAGGTGGGAGTGGTTACTTTCCTTTTGTTACAGATGGCTTAGTTTCACTGGTGGGTAGTTCCATCCAGGTTCCAGTTAAGTATACTAAGATACAGTTAAGATAAGAGAGTCTTTTATTTTGGAGTCTGTTTTGCCTTTCTCTATCGACTCGAGTACCGGGAACAATGTTTTAGTCCGGGGGATTGGGTTGCAGGTTGTTTCTGTTCCTTTGCACAGAGTTAATCTGCAGTCTAAGTTAGTACAGGGGGATGTAGAAATGACAGTCCGCCCTTCCTTGCCTATAGAGGGTGTCCATCTTCTTTTGGGTAACAATCTGGCTGGAGGGCGTGTCTGGCGTGATATACCAACCCCTGTAATTGTTAAGAATGTTCCCTCTATTGCAGATGATAGTGACGTTCATAGTCAGAATGTGTCTGTCTTTACAGCATGTGCAGTGACACGGGCTATGAGCCGTGCCGTTGATGATGTTTCCCAGACAAGGGAGTTTAAGTCTGTTAATGTGCCTAATCTACCACCCTCTCTCTCTCATAGTGATTTTGTTGCCGCTCAAAAGGAGGATGAGACATTAAAAGATCTGTTTCTTGGGGTGTTACCACCTGAGGAG